CTGGTGACTGCAAGGAACATGGTAAAGATCGAGCAAAGGGAAGGCCTGGGCTGCTCACCCAGAATTTTGGAGAAATGTTTCTCTGGAGGAGATGGCTTTTGAGTTGGCCTAAAAATCGGTAGGTTTCAACAGTTAACCAGAGGGAAAGGAGAAAGGAAACTAAAAACTGTAGGGTGCAAAGAGACTGGGATTTCCTCAGAATCTACATGATAAAGATGGAACCCGACTGAGCTGGCAGGGGCTTTGCCCCAGAACAGCTGTGCCCCAAGCAGAGGCTGCGAGTCACTGGTGTTGGTTGCTCTTTCTCCCTGTCAGGACATATTTTTGGAATGAAGAACCCTGCTGTGTGTGCAGCTGGGCTGACCAAGGCACATGGACATAGTTTTTCACTTCTGAAGAATATAAGCTTTTATCTATCTATCTATCTATCTATCTATCTATCTATTTAGAGATTGAGTCTTACTATGTCACCCTCAGTAGAGTGCTATGGCATCACAGCTCACAGCAATCTCAAACTCTTGGGCTCAAGCAATTCTCTTGCCTCAGCCTCCCAAGTAGCTGGGACTACAGGTGCCCACCACAACTTCTGGCTGTTTTTAGAAGTGAGGTCTTACTGTTGCTCAGCCTAGTCTCGAACCTGTGAGCTCAGGCAGTCCACCCACCGTGGCCTCCCAGAGTGCGGGGATTATAGGCGTGGGCCACCACATTCAGAATGTAAGCTTTTAGATGTGTCCAGATCCTCTGCCTCCTTCCAGGGGGCCTTGTCTCTCAGCCTCCTGGTTGAAGGTGAGTGTGCTGGCGTATCTAGGGGCTTGTCCTGGCAAATGTGATCTTATTTTCCTACAGATCAAGGAAACCTCCTAGAGTAGGGCAGTGTTCCAGAGGCTTCTGTCTGAGATAAAGGCGTATGTGTGTGTGTGTGTGTACATGTGTGCTGGGTGGAGGGAGCCACACTAGGAAATGTGGAGAGGAATCTAGGTTCTGGGTTTGTGCTGTCTGAAAAGTAAATGAGACCCTTCCATAATACAGGGTGCTCTGTGTCAGAAGGCTCACTGCTGCCACTGGAATCTCTTTGTTTTTTCTCTTCCTCTCCCAGGTGTGAATGAGCCTGGAGAGGACACACTGCCACAGCTGGAGGAATCCCCCATTTCCGTGTCATTTGCGTGGGCCCTGCTGTGAAATGAACCCAGCAAGGACTCGCTGGACTCCTATTTCTTCCCTTGCTGAGTACCTCGGAGCCATTGTTCCAGGGTTGTTCTAACTGGGTCCTGTCCTCCTCTTGCCAAGGCACACAGCCCAGTCCAGTAGGTGTTCCTAGGCTCATCTGCCAGCCTGAACATGAACACGGGCAAAGCTGGTGACAGCCGGGGTTCCCCAGGGACATGGGGCCCCATGGGGTCCAGCCCGCAAGAACAGGACTTCTCATGATGCGGGTGTCTGGGAGTGAGCACCATGCCCATCACACAGGACAATGCCGTGCTGCACCTGCCCCTGCTCTACCAGTGGCTGCAGAACAGCCTGCAGGAGGGCGGGGACGGGCCGGAGCAGCGGCTGTGCCAGGCGGCCATCCAGAAGCTGCGGGAGTACATCCAGCTGAACTTCGCTGTGGACGAGAGTGCCGTCCCGCCTGACCACAGCGCCCCCGAAATGGAAATCTGTACTGTGTACCTCACCAAGGAGCTAGGGGACACAGACACTGTGGGCCTTAGTTTCGGGAACATCCCCGTTTTCGGGGATTACGGTGAAAAGCGCAGAGGAGGCAAGAAGAGGAAAACCCACCAGGGCCCCGTGCTGGACGTGGGCTGCATCTGGGTGACGGAGCTGAGGAAGAACAGCCCGGCAGGGAAGAGCGGCAAGGTCCGACTGAGAGACGAGATCCTCTCCCTGAACGGGCAGCTGATGGTCGGAGTTGATGTCAGCGGGGCCAGGTAAGTGGGGGGGGTCGACAGCTGGCGCAGGGGCAGGACTTGGGACCCCTGAGGGTCACTGTCGTCGGCTGCATGGATCTGCAGCTCCAGGGGCTATGAGGCCTGCTGGTAAGGGGTGGTGGCATTTATCCTTTCAAGGGAAGATCCGCCAAGTGGAAGGTTTATAGCGTTTCTTTCTTTTTTCCTCCTCTGCTGGGGACTCAGACTCAGAGTATTTCTTTTTCCCTGAGGGGAAAATAGGTAAAAACAAAGGAAAACAGCCTATGAAATGAGAATGTCAGAAATGGCAGATTTGGACCCTTCATCCGTTTAATCCAGCATCTCACCACCACCAGAGCACCAGAGCTCAGGTCTTGGGTATGTTTCCATCTGCCTGTCCCATGTCACTTTAGTGACAGCAACTACGGATTGCTGAGTCTACTCATAGTCCAGAAGCTCCATCCTGGAAGCGCCTCTTCCATCTCATTTGAATGCTTGTTGACTGTTCTTGAGCCTTCTTCCGTTCTCTGGGCATATGGCCACCTACCATGGTACTAAGGTATGACTGGGCAATTCTGTTGTTTCCCTGGTGAATTGGAGAATAAGACCCCAAGTGTCCCCAGACCACTGTCACTTTCCGTGACTCACTAGAAATACAAACTCAGAAGACCTGTCATATTTATAGTTTCAGCGCTTCTCAGTGAAGAGATACAGATTAAAATCAGCAAAGGCAAAAGACACAGAGGGGAGTCCTGGAGGACCAGGTGCCAGCTTCCCACCATCCCTGCCCATGGGGCTGTGCAGACAGTGTTCACTCCTCCCAGCAGTGATGCTGGGCAGTACAGGAGGGGTGTCGCCAGCCAAGGACGCTGATTCCTCTACTGGGGTGAGTCACATGAGCACAGAGTCCCTGTGTGGCTGACCTTAGTCACTCAGTGGCCAGTTGCTCCAGAGGTCAAACTAATGCCACCTGACCCAAGGCTCCCCCCACAAATCACATTGTTAGCATGAACTTTCTGGCCTGGCCAGACACCCCAGAGATAAAAGGACACTGTTTTTAGGCAGGATATTCCAAAGGCCTAGAGGAGTTTTTCCAACCTTTTATATCTCACAGCACTTTGAACCTGTAGTTAAACTTCCATAGCACACTTATATTATGTTGATCAAAAAAAAAAAAAAGAGTTAAAAAAAAAGAATAGACTGACTGTGCTTTGAACTTCTTTTGAAAATAATTTAATTGATGATCTTTAAAACTTTTCACAGCACACCTAAGAGCCTCTCACGGCACACCGGTGTGCCAAGGCACACCAGTTGAAAATCACTGGTTTAGATGTTATCTCCCAGGAGCTGATCAAGGGTCAGCCCTTTCTCTGGGATGTACATAGGCTGAATGCTCCAGGCTGGCTGAGATAACCCTTCACAGCACATCAGGGCTTTCATGATGGGTATATATGAAAGAGACTAAGAAAGAGAATTTGAGGATATTCCAAGTGAGATGCCTACGTTTTATCAAGCTCTCAGGGGCTCCTGTGAGTAGGGCTCCTATGTCCTAGAGGGGTCATGGAGAGAAGGCCACCTTGAGAAACATGGTGACCTTTGGATGAGGGAGATAGCCAGCCCAAAAAGACCCTGCAGGGAGAAATCAGAGCAGAAATACCTTGACCTTGATCTTCATTCTCCCTCTAGTATCCCACCAGTGCTTCCCACCAGTGGGCACCAGACAGAAGCCAAGGGAAAGGGAGCCCTTTGAAGTGTCGGTGTCCAGGGAGCAAAGTGCAGAGTGGAGAAGGGTAGGGATTGGATATGGACGGTCCATAAGAAGTCATCAGGCACAAATAATGTGGTATGAGAATAAATGATCCAGGACATGGAAAGGACAGCACACAGGGCCGGCTGGCAAGTAGATGTATTTACTCAAGCCACTCACCAGTATTTCCTTTGGGTTGCCTCCTTGAAGACACACTCTTAGCTAATAGCCAGGTGCCTGACTGACCATTACTGGGAGAGGCTGCTCAATTTCAAGGAGTGATACTGAAGAGAAATCACTGTAGAGATTAGAGATCGTTCTCAGAAAAGGAGCAAGGCTGACGACCATCACTAAGCTCAAGGTGCTACCAGCTTAGAAGAGGGGATTGCCATAGGGCTTGTGGCAGTCCTCTCAGAGCTGACCCTGAGAGTCCCTGCATTGGCAGCTGACTGGTTTTCAGGGAATGGGTTTGAATAGAGAACTAGAGGAAGAGCAGAAGGGGCGTCCAGCAGGAGAGCACAATGTCAGGAGCTCCAGCTCTGGGACAAGCAGCTGGGGCTGCCCCCCTAATTTCCCCTCACCAGCTGGTTGACCTTGGGAAATTACACCTCTTAGCCTCAATTCCCTGTCTGTGAAGTGGGAATGTTAAGGCCATTGATGCAATGACTACATGAAGAAATGGTGCACATAAGGACTTAGCACTATGTCTAGTAAATAGTGCTTCATAAGCATTAATAACGTAATATCATACTGTACATGGAGAGGGTTTGGGAAGGCTGGTGATTTCTTAACCCAGAGCTTCCTGGAGTCTTTAGGACCTCAGAGAAGATCATCCCATACTAGAGAAATTTCCTCATCTCTGTTCAAAAAGCTCCTCTTCCCTTATCCTGCTTAAGGCTGTGAAGACTTTAGGGGATAAAGTTTTCTTTCTGAAACTCTGAAAACCTATCTGACCCTGGGATGAGATGGCTTTCCAGCCACCATTGGAAGATTCCTTGGATTTTTAATTTAGTTTCGGGGATGGAGAATAGGCCAATGCCCAGTTTTGCAAAGAAATAAGATACAGAAGAATAGAATGCACCGGGGTCATGACAGAAGGTAGAACACGGGACTGGACTCTTTCACGGCAGCTCTGAGAGGTGATAGAGGAGGAAGTGGACTGAGTCTGGAATTCTGGGTTCCCTCTGAGACCCTGGGTAAATGTCTGGGATGTGGCCTGGAGAGGGGGGAGGATTAGCTGTCGCTGCCCATGCTAAACTATTAGGGGTGAAGAAACACTTTTAAAAATCCATCTGGGGTAGGGTTATTGTTCCAGAAGCCCAAAGAAGTAAAGCGGTATTTCTGCAATGCCACAGTTATGACCTGCAGAGCCAAGGCTCAGTGCCCCCTCTTCCTACTTGGGGGGCACCAGTCTACTTCTGGGTGCTCAGAAAGAGACACCTGGATGGCTGTGGTCTGTTGGCATTTGGGCTGAAATAGCTGAAGCTGAGGGGAGCTCAGGAAATAGACCTGTGGGGTTCACAATTTTACCCTGAATGTTCCACAATATACCCAGGATGTGTTTTAGTCAGGTATGGCCATCATGAAGGAAGAAACTCATCCTCACAGGTCCCTAGAGACAGGAGGCCCAGCTTGCCACATCGAGCCCACCATGCGGGGCCATGTGGGGAAGTACTGGAGTCAGTGAGGAGGCAGGTGGGGGAGGGAGAGTGTGGCCCAGAGCCTTTATCAAGGTGTCCACAGGAAGGAGCAGGTGAAGCAGGGTAAGTATCCTAAGTAGGCTTAGGGATGGGAGTTGGAATAACTTCAGTAGGCTCTGGACTGTGTGTGTATGGGGGGGGGGGTGTCCTTAGCTGTCCAGCACTTGTCCCTGGATAATTTAAGGCAATGGGGAAATATTAGCTTGATGTGGAAGAGTTTGATAAAGGACATGGTTGGCTGTGATTCCAGATTGTTTGGTTTGTATATGAAAGATCCACGTACTCCAAGTCACTTGCTATCACTAGGAATTAGCTACCCATGGGAGGGGGTCAGTCTGTCCAGAATCAAGGCTCCACATGCCTGAGCAACAGGCATACAGAAAATAAGAAAATATAATGAATACATGGGGTTTCTGGAAACTTTGAACAGCTGAGGAAGTAAAATCTTGTTCAGTAGTAAATAGTCACAACTGACACATCCCCTTCTGTGATGTCTGTGCTGGACGATGAAGGGCCAGGTGAGGGCGGCTGCACCTGAAGCCACTGCGATGTCGCTGTTTTGGTGGAAGGAGGAGGAGGCCAAGATCCACTGCTTGAGTTTTCATGGTTCACTCCCTAAGTGCTCTTGAGTCATGAATAGGAAATACCATGAGTTGACCAGTTTCTGCCATGGTGGACGTCTGCCAGCCACTGTGTCCTTTAATCCTCACCCCAACTCTAGAAAGGCCATCTCTATACAGATAAGAAACATTGGCCACACATAACTTGCCTAAGGTTACCTAAGTCAGAAGCAGAACCAGATTTGAACCTGGATCTACCTGGCTCCACAGTCTGTGCTTCTAACAGCTGTGCTATCTTACCTCAGTGTCTGCCCCAGGGCCGTACTTAGGGTCCTTGTCACCTAGTTGGGTGCATAATTCATAGATGGTTTACACCCAGGGTGTCCACATGCCGATTATTCGAGGAAAGTATGCACGGACCTTTCTTTTACTCATCAGCTAATGTGTGGCCCAAGACAACTCTATTTTTCCAATGTGTGGCAGAAAAAAGATTGGATACCCCTAGTTACAGCTTTACAAAATACCTCTTCGGTGTAACCACAGACACCAGGGATGAAAATGACTAGAACAAACTGTAAGGCTTCCACCTCTCCCAACTGACAAGGAAAACGGGAGCGCCCTGCCTCAGCTTAGAAAACGAAACCGAATTTTAATATAGAATCCCCTTGGCACACTTACATCTAGCCAGAGCCTTGGGACTATAAGCACTTGGAGATGTAGGTGGCAGGGAGCTGAAAGTGTTTGAATGTTCTCAAGGCGTTCCTTTTCACTCTTTGTAACTAACAGCTTCCCTCAACACTAAATTTTTCCACCTACCTATGTGTGGTTTTTTGGTCCTAAAAAGTGGTAAGGAGGAATTAGGGTTCTGCAGAGACCCCAGTGTATATCTCTGGCCCGGGACAAATGGTTCCCTCCATTGATGATAGCCTATTCTCTCTTTGTAAGCAACAGATTTCAGGGGTCAAAGCACCAACTTACCTGCCCACATGACAGTTCATCCCCACCAGAGTCCGC